TTGTGCAACTTTTTCTCCCATATTTGGTGTATGCATGGCACCTTGAAAATATTTCGCCGAACCATTGTCTTGTAATGAGTACTGAAAGAAAAAAAATATTTATTATTTTTATTTATTTTTATTATTATTATTTATTTATTAATATTATTATTATTATTTAATTTATTATTATTTTTATTTTTTATTATTACAAAATATTATTTTTTTTCTATTTTAAATAAATAAATATGAAATTAGTATTTTTGGGGCAAATAAATAAATTTTAAAAATCAATTGTTAGAATTTTGAATTAATATAATTTTAATAGATATAATTTTTTTGAGACGAATTTCATTTCTTCGAATTGTAATTACAATGAATGTCATTCTTTAAAGGTGAACAAAAAATAAATTTAGAAAAAAAAAACGAAAAATTTATACGGAATGACCCCAAAAAAAATCCAAAAAATACTTATAAATTAGAAAGAAATTAATGGATTCTTCTAAAATTTGGTAATTATGTTATTTGCAAAGAATTACATTATTTAAAGTCAAAAAAAAAAAAAAATTGAGGAAAAAAGAGCATAATTGTTACGGAATGACCCCAAAAATATCCAAAAAACAGTTATAACTTGCAAGAAAATTAATGAATTCTTACGAAATTTGATAAATATGTTCGTTGCAATAAAGAACATCCTTTAAAGGCGAAAAAAATACAAACTAAGGGATAATAGCTAATAATTAATATGGAATGACCCAAAAAAAATTCCAAAAAAAAAAAACAGTTAAAATTCACATCACAGACTATATTGCAATAAATAATATCCTTTAGAGGCAAAAAATACAATTTTTATAAAAAAAAAGTGTTCAATTATTACGGAATGACCCTAAAAAAAAAATTCAAAAAACCTGTTATAACTATTATAAAAATTAACGGATCGTTATGAAACTTGGTAATTATGTTATTTGCAATAAATAATATCCGTTAGAGGTGAAAAAAATAGAAAATTTAGAAAAAAACCAATAATTAATGCGGAATGACCCAAAAAAAAAAAAAATGCAAAAAATGGTTATAAATACTAATAATATTACCAGATTGTTATGAAACTTGGAAATTAAGTTTTTTGCAATGAATGCCATGGTTTAAAGACGAAAAAATACAAATTTAAGAAAAGAAAAGTTTATTTCTTACGGAATGACCCAAAAAAAGTCCAAAAAGTTGTTATAACTTTTAACCAAATTAACGGATCGTTTTAAAACTTGGATATTATGTTCGTTGCACTGCAGGACATCCTTTAAAGGCAAAAAAATATAAATTGATAGAAAAAAGTGCATGATTAATATGGAATGACCCAAAAAAAAAAAAAAAAATTCCAAAAAACAGTTAACATTCACTTCACAAGCTATATTGCAATAAATAACATCCTTTAGAGGTAAAAAATACAAATTTTTATAAAAAGAAGTGGATAATTGTTACGGAATGACCCCAAAAAAATCCAAAAAAACGGTTATATCTTCAAAAGAAATTAACGGATCGTTATGAAACTTAATAATTATGTTCTTAGCAATGAATTACATCATTTAAAGTCGATAAAATACAAAATTTAGGGAAAAAAGTACATAATTACTATGGAATGACCCCAAAAAAATTAAAAAAATGGTTGTCATTTCAAAAGAAGTTAACTGATCCTTATGAAACTTGATAGTTATGTTATTAGTAATAATTTACATCCATTAAAGGCAAAAAAAATACAAATTTTGAAAAAAAGCGCTTATTTGTTACAGAATGACCCAAAAAAAAAATCAAAAAACTGTTATAACTTTCAACCAAATTACCGAATCGTTAGGAAAAATGGTAATTATGTTCTTTGCAATGATAGACATTGTTTAAGGGCAAAAAAAATACAAATTTTGAAAAAAAGCGCTTATTTGTTACAGAATGACCCAAAAAAAAATCAAAAAAATGTTATAACTTTCAACCAAATTACCGAATCGTTAGGAAAAATGGTAATTATGTTCTTTGCAATGAAAGACATCGTCTAAGGGCAAAAAATATTCAAATTTAGGAAAAAAAGCATATAATTATTACGGAATGACCCAAAAAAAAAAAAATTCCAAAAAATAGTTATAACATTCACAAAAATTACCTGATCTTTATAAAACTTGATAATTATATTTTTTTCAATGAATCATATTCTTTAGAGGCAAAAAAAATATAAATTTATAAAACAAAAATATAATTGTTACGGAATGACCCAAAAAAAAAATTCAAAAAACGGTTATAACTTCGAAAGAAATTAACGGATCGTTATGAAACTTGGTAATTATATTCTTTGCAATAAATAACATTCTTTTTTTTTTTTGCAGGAAGATACAAAGTTGAGAGAAAAAAGTGTATTTATTACAAAATGACCCAAAAATAATCGTTTTTTTTGGGGGACATTCCATAATAATTATGCACTTTTGTTTCAAAATTTAATATTTTTTGCCCTCTATAGATGTAAAATATTGCTAAGAACATAATTACCAAGTTTTATAAAGATTCGGTAATTTCTTTTGAAGTTATAACCGTTTTTTGGTTTTTTTTTTGGGTCATTCCGTAATAATTATGCGCTATTTCTTATAAATTTTTTTTTTCTTTTAAAGTATGTTATTTATTGCCAAGAATGTAATTACCAAGTTTTAAAATGATTAGTTAATTTATTAAGAATTTATGATTGTTTTTTTGGTTTTTTTGGGTCATTCCGTAATAATCAAACGCTTTTTATTTCTAAATTTGTATTATTTTGACTTTAATCGATGTCATTAATTGCAAAGAACATAATTACCAGGCTTCATAAGAATTAATTCATTTATTTCAAAGTTATAACTGTTTTTTGGATTTTTTTTTTTGGGTCATTCCGTAAAAATTATGCCTTTTTTTGTGATAAAATTTAAATTTTTTCTCTTTAAACACAGTTATTTATTGCAAAGAACATAATTACCAAGTTTCATAAAAATTAATTTATTTATTTCGAAGTTATATAACCGGTTTTTGGATTTTTTTTGGGGGTAATTCCATAATAATTTTGCCCTTTTTTTCCCTAAATTCAAATTTTTTGCCATTAATCGATGTCATTCATTGTAATGAACATAATTACCAAATTTCATAACGATCCAATAATTTCTTTTGAAGTTATAACAGTTTTTTGGATTTTTTTTTGGGGTCATTCCGTAACAATTATCCACTTCTTTTTGTAAAGTTTTTTTTTTTTTTTTTTTTTTTGCCTCTAACGGATGTTATTTATTACAATATAGTCTGCAAAGTACATTTTAACTATTTTTTTTAAAAAAATTTTCGGGGTCATTCCATATAAATTTTTTCGTTTTTTCCCCAAAAATTTGTATTTTTTCGCCTTTAAAGGATGTAATTTATTGTTATATAATTTGTGACGTGAATTTTTGGTAATAGAAAAATTCTCCAATATAAAAAATTTGTTTTAATGAAAAACCGTCAAAAAAAAAAAAAAAAAAAAAAAAAAAAAAAAAAAAAATAGTTCGATTAATTAAAATTCGACTCAATGAAAATTATATGTAATGAAATTTTATCAAATGAAAATTTTAATAATTGATTATCAAAATTTATTCATGCGTTCTATATTATAATAATTTTTGTTTTGCAACTTACTTTATGTTTTAATGATTCAGGACCCATTTGACTGAGTGATGGTGATTTTCGATCTCTGGAAGTTCGCCATTTTTGTAAATCACTTTCCGATGCAACACCAGGAAATATTTTCGAATGTTTTGCAGCTTAAAAAGAAGAAAATACAAAATTTTTGATTAATTTTCTGTTGAATTAATTTATCGTATTCATATTTTGTTTATTATTATTATTATTAAAACTAAATCGGCTATATTGGCCAGGAAAAACAAGCTCTGACGTTTTAATTGAAAGAATAATAGAAATAAAATTATAAAATATACAAATGGTTATGTTTATATTTCAGTTTATTAATAATAAATAATTAAATATAACTAAAAAAATTAATAATAAATATTACTATATTAATATAAATATTATTAATTAAATAATTAATTAAATAAATAATTATATAAATAATTAAATAATTAATTAAATAATTAATTAAAAATTAAATAATAATTATTCTCAAACTCCAAAAAACCTAAAAAAAATAAATAAAAATATATATAATTATAAAAAAAAAAACCGTGTATCAAAAAAATATGCCATAATTTTTATAATTAAAATAAAAATGGTAAAAATAGAAAAAAAAATTAAATTAAAAAATTAAAAAATTAAAATAAAAAAAAAAAATGTAAATCAGTCAGAGTTTAATTTTTCGAGATATTAGTCAAGCATTAAAAGTGTGTCAATAATGACTATACATAGGTATATAAGATGTATATTTATATATACTATTAAACTTATATTATTATAGCTCTAGAAGCTGCATACCTGTGAAAAAAGTAAATGTTGTATTGATTTTAAAAAAATGTGTATTATATTAATATTTCGATATATATATATATAAATGTATATAAGAGTAAAAAAATAGTCAGTGACTATTTTTTTTTTTTTTTTTTTTTTTTTTTTTGCATCAGATTTCTACATGAAATGGTTTTTGTACAATGAGCTAAAATTTCACTGCCACGCCCCTTTTTCAAAAAAAAAATTTTTTTTTTATTTTAAAAATATTCGTAACGAAATTTAAAAAAAAAAAATGCAAAAAATACTACAGAAAAATCAAAAAAAAATAACGAATATTATTATATTTATTATTATTTTAAAATATAAGTAAATAATATTTTTTTACTTATAAAAAAAGAAAAATAGAAAATAATATTCAAAAAAATAATAATAATAATAATAATAATAATAATAATAAAATTAAAAATAGGAAAAGGAAAAATAGGAATAGAAAAAAATAAAAATAGTAAATAATAAAAATATTAAAAAAATAAAATTAGTAAAAATTAAAAAAAATAAAAATAAATTAATTAAATAGTAAACAATGTTATATTTAACTAAACAATAAATAAATTAATTAAATAATAAATAATATTAAATAATAAATAATATTATAAAAATTATCACCTAAACTTACAAATTTTTTTTGTTTTTGTTTTTTTTTTAAAGCGAACAAAAAATAATGAAATGGTTTATTATTTATCGAATGTTGAGAAAATATTTTTAAAAAAAATAATTTTTTGATATTTGGCAAAAAATTTGAAATAATTGAAATATTGAAATCAATCAAATATATATTGTGACGACTAAAATAAAAGCCGCGTGAATTCAGCTATTGCGCACCGCTGTGAAAATAAAGCTGTTGGCTATTTTTGTAAGATTTGATAAAATCGGTCGGACGGCAGTGCAAAATTTTCACTGAAATTACACTGTGTTTCAATATTTTTATTTTTTTTTATTTTATTATTATTATTATTATTATTATTATTATTATTATTAAATCATAATAATAATCAATTTTTTTTTTAATTGAATTATATTAATACATTGAGAAATAATTTTTTTTTTTTTAATTATTCCATAATAATTCATTAATTAATTATAAAACAAACAAAAATATATTTATTTGAATAACAATTTAATTTTTACTTTTTATTCAAAACATAAATTTTTATTTGTACTCAAATATTTATTTTGAACAAAAATAATTTTTTTATTTAACTCGAATAAATTATTTATTTGAAATATGTAATTTTTATTCGAACTCTCAAATAAATATTTATTTAAAATAATTTTTATTTGAACTCTCAAATAAATATTTATTTAAAATAATTTTTATTTGAACTCTCAAATAAATATTTATTTGAAATAATTTTTATTTGAATTCTCAAATAAATAGATATTTATTTAAACAAATATAATTAATAATTTTTTTTTTTTATTTTTAAACAAAAATAAAATTTTTTTATTTTAACAAAAAATAATTTTTTTATTTTAACAAAAAATAATTTTTTTATTTTAACAAAAAATAATTTTTTTATTTAAACAAAAATAATTTTTTTATATTAACAAAAAATAATTTTTTTATTTAAACAAAAATTTGTTTTTTTATTTTAACTAAAATAAATATTCAATATATTGAAATTAAATAATTTTTAATTCAAATATAAAAATATTTCTTTGAAATAGCAAATAATTTTTATTTAAACTAAAAATATATTTTTATTTAAAGTCAAAATTATTTTTCATTTGTTTTAATTTATTACAAAAAAAAATTTATTTATTTATTTTTTTAGTTTTTATTTTATTTTATTTTTTTTAGAAATTATATTTTTCAATTTATTCTATTTTTAAAAAAAATTCTAAGGTAACAAATCGTTGATATATCGCCTCCGGGGGTAAAAAAAAAATTTCCTAAATAATTATAGTGTCAAAAAAAAAAAAAAAAAGGTTTCACATATTTTCAGCGCAGTGTAGCCGAGCAAAAACAAGCTATTACACTATTTAAAAAAAAAAAAAAAAAATTCCCTAACTAAAATTAATTCTAGTAATTAAGAATTATTATTTTTTTTTTCCTATTCACTAATTATATAATTTGAGTGAGACAAAATTTTTTAAAAAGTGAGTATATATATATATTGTATATATAAAATGTATTTATATAGAATTTCAGAAAAGAGCACTAGTAATAGATGTCAATTTTTTTTTTAATTTAATTTAATTTTTTTTTTTTTATTTATTTAGAAACTCCATATCGCAAAAACTTTCTCTGGAACTTTTGCAATTAAAAATGAGTAAATATTAATGATAAAAACGACTCACATAACCTCAAAAAAAAAATTATTTTTAACAAAAAAACTTTTTTTTTAAATTTAAAAAAAAAAAATTTTTAAATTAAAATTAAAAAAATTTATTTTATAAAAATTTTGAAAACAATTTATTTCCACAATTAATTAATTTAATTTTCTTTATTATCACACTTCAAACTATCATAAACATAACCTATAAATTTATTATTTAATAATCATAGTAAAGTAAATATTTAGTATTTGTTAGTAAAAAAATACAAAAATAAAAAAAATAATAATAATAATAATAATTGCCACATCGTCCTACAACCAATAATATTTTTTTTTTTTTTTGAAAATACCGAAAAACAAGAAAATTGTAATTTTTTTTTAAAGAATTAAAAATTAATTAATTTTTAAAAAAATTTATTAATTAAAAAAATTTTTTTGTTAATTTAAAAAAAATTTACAATAAAAAAAAATTTTACAATTAAAAAAATTTTTTAGTTAATTTAAAAAAATTTTACAATTTTAATTTTTCACAATAAATGAATTTGAATATATCTATTATTATTCGGTGACAAAAAACCCCCCCCCCCCTTTTTTTTTCATTATTTGCTAAAACCAAAATTTTTGTTTGGAGGTTATGTTAAAAAAAAAAATTAATTTTTAAACGCTAAAAAATAACACTTATACACAAAGATAAAAACCCAACTTCGAAAATAATCATCAGTCGGTAAAACAGAAATTGATAATATTAGTGACGAATGGTAACTTGTTAGAAAATTTAAAAATACAAAAAATATCAAAAAAAAAAAAAAAAAATTCAAATAATAAAAATTAAATTCCAAATATAAAAAAAAGAAACAATTGTATTAATCAAAATTTTGGAAAAAGTTAGTGCATTTTTTTTTTTTTTTTTTGTCTTTTTTTTCAGTCGTTCCAGAGAAATATATTTTTGGAGTGTGTAAGCTCATATCATGATAAAGCCAAAAGCAAATGGTAAATAGAGAGATAGAGAAAGAGAGAGAGAGAGACAGAAATAGAGAGTAAGAAAGAAGAGAATAATAATAATAATAATAATAATAGGGGTGCAAACTCGGCAGCGCTCGGTCGGTAACACCGAGTTAGTCTTTCAATATTGTTTTACCTTCGGTGAGATTATCAACAGTCGCTGGCCTTCGTTCGAGGGTGATTTGTTCGCTCCCTCGGCCCGCTACTAGAATATTTTTTCTGATGTTTGATATTGGAATGGCAGAGATGAAACGAGGGAGGATCGATTTCCGCTACCCTGACAGCTATGAGAAGGATAGCAGAGGCTAAATATTCTTACAATTGCCGAGGCAAGGGGGCCTCTCTATTTTACACGCGAAAAAAAAAAGAAAAAACAGAAAAAAAAAATTTTTTTTCAAACCTCAATTTTTTTTTTTTGGGACGCGCATGAATAAGTTACTAAAAAAAAGAAAAAAAAAAAACAATTAATAGAAATTTTTATTCAATAGAATTTTACTGGATATAATTTTTATTGTATTATTTTTGTCCAGAATTTTTCACAAAAAGTGATTTTTTATATTAGAGAATTTTTATATAATCGAAAATTCATATCAGAGATTATATTACAATGAATTACATTCTTTAAAGACGAAAAAATACAAATTTTGGGGAAAAAAGAAAAAAAAAATTAATATGGAATGACCCAAAAAATTCCAACAAACAGTTAAAATTCACATCACAGACTATATTGCAATAAATAACATCCTTTAGAGGCAAAAAATACAATTTTTATAAAAAAAGTGTTCAATTATTACGGAATGACCCAAAAAAAAAAAATTCAAAAAACCTGTTATAACTATTATAGAAGTTCACGGATCGTTATGAAACTTGGTAATTATGTTATTTGCGAAAAATAATATCCGTTAGAGGCGAAAAAAATACAAATTTAGAAAAAAAAACGAAAAATTTATATGGAATGACCCAAAAAAAAAAAATCCAAAAAATGGTTATAAATACTAATAAAATTACCAGATTGTTATGAAACTTAGAAATTAAGTTTTTTGCAATGAATGCCATGGTTTAAAGACGAAAAAAATACAAATTTAAGAAAAAAAAAGTTTTTTTCTTACGGAATGACCCAAAAAAAAATCCAAAAAGTTGTTATAACTTTTAACCAAATTAACGGATCGTTTTAAAACTTGGAAATTATGTTCGTTGCACTGCAGGACATTCTTTAAAGGCGAAAAAATATAAATTGATAGAAAAAAGTGCATAATTAATATGGAATGACCCAAAAAAAAAAAAAAAAAATTCCAAAAAACAGTTAACATTCACTTCACAAGCTATATTGCAATAAATAACATCCTTTAGAGGTAAAAAATACAAATTTTTATAAAAAGAAGTGGATAATTGTTACGGAATGACCCCAAAAAAATCCAAAAAACGGTTATATCTTCGAAAGAAATTAACGGATCGTTATGAAACTTAATAATTATGTTCTTAGCAATGAATTACATCATTTAAAGTCGAAAAAATACAAAATTTAGAAAAAAAGTACATAATTACTATGGAATGACCCAAGAAAAAAAATTCAAAAAAACGATTTTAACTTCTAACCAATTAAACGGACCCTTATGAAATTTTATAAATTTGTTCTTTGCAATGTAACACATCATTTGACGAAAAAAAAAATACAAATTTAGAAGAAAAAAATTTATTTATTACGGAATGACCCCAAAAAAATTCAAAAAACCGTTTATAACTTTAAAAGAAATTAACGGATCTTTATGAAACTTGATAATTATGTTCTTAGCAATGAATTGCATCAATTAATGTCCAAAAAAAATACAAATTTAGGGAAAAAAGTAAATAATTACTATGGAATACCCCCCCAAAAAAAAAATTCAAAAAACGGTTATAATTTTCAAAAAAAATAACCGAATCGTTTTGAAACATCCTTTGAAGGATGTTATTCATTGTAAAGAACATATACACCAATTTTTTTTTTAAATAATCGATTAATTTCTTTTGAAATTATAACTGTTTTTTGAATTTTTTTTTTTTGGGACATTCCATAATAATTGTGCCCTTTTTTTTTTACTATATTTGTATTATTTTATTTTAAAGGAAGTAAATTCACTGCTAATAACATAATTATAATGTTTCATAACGAATCGAAATTTTTTTTTCAAAGTTATAAGTGTTTTTTTGGTTTTTTTTGGGGTCATTCCGTAATAAATATAATTTCTTTTCGTAAATTTGTTTTTTTTTGCAAAAAAAATAAGAATGTAATTTATAGCAAAGAATATAATTATCTAGTTTTATAAGAATCGGCTAATATTTTTGAAAGTTAGAACAGTTTTTTGATTTTTTTTTGGGGTCATTCCGTAATAATTTTGTCCTTTTTTTCCCTAAATTCCAATTTTTTGACTTTAATCGATGTCATTCATTGCAAAGAACATAATTACTAAGTTTCATAACGATTCGTTATTTTGTTTAGAAATTATAACAGTTTTTTGAATTTTTTTGGGGTCATTCCGTAACAATTATCCATTTCTTTTTATAAAAATTGTTTTTTTTTGCTTCGAACGGATGTTATTTATTACAATATAGTCTGCGAAGTACATTTTAACTGCTTTTTTTTTTTTTAAATTTTTTGGGGTCATTCCGTAATAATTTTTTTTGTTTTTTTCCTTATTTTGTATTTTTTTCTTGCCTTAAAAAAATGTCATTTATTGCAAAGAACATAATTACCAAGTTTCATTACGATTCGTTATTTTGTTTAGAAATTATAACAGTTTTTTGAATTTTTTTTGGGGTCATTCCGTAACAATTATCCATTTCTTTTTATAAAAATTGTTTTTTTTTTTGCTTCGAACGAATGTTATTTATTACAATATAGTCTGCGAAGTACATTTTAACTATTTTAAAAAAAAAATTTTTTTGGGTCATTCCGTAATAATTTTGACCCTTTTTTTTCCTAAATTCGAATTTTTTGCTTTTAATGGATGTCATACATTGCAAAAAACATAATTTCCAAAATTCTTAACGTTCCGTTAATTTCTTTAGAAAATAATAACCGTTTTTTTTTTTGGGTCATTCCGTAACAATTATGCGTTTTTTTTTTTCTCTAAATTTGTATTTTTTCGTCTTTAAACCATGTAATTCATTGTCAATATTATCTGTGATGTGAATTTTCGATTATATAAAATTTCTCTCTAATAGAAAATATCATTTTAACAAAAATCCTGCGCAAAATACAAATTTGTCACATTAAAAATTATATCCAATAAAATTTCAATAAAATTCTAAAAATTCGATTTTCAGAATTACGTTTCAATTTCTTCTTTTATTTTTCTCTGATATAAAAAATTATATCAAAACTGTGAGTGACGGAAATGTAAAATTATTTTTTAAAAAAATCCTCTTTCAAAATAAGAAAATAAAAAATGCAACTATTTTTTTTTTTTTTTTGTTTGCAATTCATCCCGATGGAAAATTTATCCAAATAAGGGGAAGGGAGGGGGTTGAGGGGGGTGGGAAGGAAAAGAAAAGGTTAAAAAAGGAACACTTACAAACACTACAGGTGAGACTACGACATGGAACCCTCGTTGTTTCCGTTTTGACAGCTCGCCTCGAAATTGCATCTAAACTTGCCGCATGTGAAACACTCCGCGAGGGTCCTTGTTCCGCTGATGATGATGGTGGTGGTCCTTCCCAGATTCCGGATTTTTGTGACATCTACCAAAAAAAAAAATAAAATTAAAAAAAAAAGATTTTGGAAATTTTTTTTTCTAAAAATATTTTTTTATGTTATAAATGAATGTTTTTATACAGTAAAAAAAAAATTATAGGTTATGTTTATGATCATTTTATGCCTTGTTGAAAAAAAAATTTAGGTTATGTTTATAATTTTATGCCTGGTTGAAAAAAAAATTTTTTGAGGTTATGTTTATAATCATTTTATGCCTTGTTGAAAAAAAAATTATAGGTTATGTTTATGATTGCTTTGACTTTTTTTTTGCCTTCACACTCGAATTTAAACATACAAAAATTGATTTTAATTTTACATAATTAAAATCAATTAAGCTATTAAAAACGATCATAAACATAACCTATAAATTTTCGATGAAATGGTTTTGATGCGCATAATAATAATTTGCCAAACCAAACTATAGGTGCGAGTAAATCATAAACCTACTGCTTTTACGTAATTTACAACCGATATCCGAGGAGTTGATAATAAAATTTTCCTTCTGAGTGCTACAAAATATGTCAGAATCGATTTTATCACTTGGGTTTTGAGTTTTATTTCCCTTAACTAAAGAAGTATATAAAAAGTGATCAATTCTAGAGGAGAATTTTTTTTTTAGATTTAAAGAAAAAAATCTTTTGTCAATTTAACCAGGATAAAAAACTAAAAACTTTGTCTAATTTTTTTTCAATGAAGAATCTTTTTTTTTTTTTTTTTTTTTTAATTTATTGCTGCAGATGAGATCGGAAAGAAATTCTCAAGATACTTTGTGTTAAAAGAAAGTTTACAACTTGGAAAACGTTATTCCTAGCACGTCGCTTTTAATCCTATTATCTCTCTTTCTCTCTCCGATAGAGCAGCCTCAGGGCATGGCACTCAAAACTGCAGTAGCAGCAAACCAAAATGAAAATTGAAAAAAAAAGGAATCATTTTCTTCTTTTTTTTTTGAAGGTGGTATCAGTTATACTGTTATTGTTATAGGTTATGTTCCTCCATTCAAGTGATTATTGCCTGCAATCTGGCTCGACTATATACGATAAAATGGCGACTGTATGCAAAGTTTTGAATAGGCATTTTCGAGAAAGGACCGGGCAAAATATATATATATATTTTGAAATGGTAATCGGAGTTAAACTGAGCGAGAAAATAGAGATTATTTTACACATGAAGATCACCGGTTTGTTTTTTTTCGTATAAACGAATTTTCGTTGTATTTATATCTTGATGGACTAATTTTTAAGCGGAAATAACCTAAATTTTCAAAGTATTTCATTGTCATGAACATAACCTCAAAAATTAAAAAAAAATTCTTTTTTCAAGGGGCGCGATCCTATAATAATAATTTTTCATTTTAAAGAATTTTATTAAAAATTATTTTTTTTAGTCGAATTTTTAAGTTTCGAATTAAAATTTAATATAATTTCTTTTCATACGAATTTTTAACAATATTTTTAGCTACCAAACTTTTTTTGAACAGAATTTTTTATTTTACACTCATTTTTTTTAAACATGACTTTTTATTTAAAGGGAATTTTAATTAAAATGAATTTTAATTTAACAAGTATTATCATTTAATCGAAATTTTTTTATTCGAATTTTTAAATTGACAGAAATTTCAATACACCGAATTTCAAATTTGTCCGAATTTTTAAAGACACCAAATTTTTTTAAAGACATCAAGTTTTCATTTATCTGAAATTACAAACTATCGAATAAAAAATGAATAAAAAGATTTCGGTACAATTTTTCAAAATTCACCAATCACGATTTTCTTGATAATTTTCTAAATGATCAATTTTTAAAAAAATAGCGCCAAAATTTTTTTTTTGTAATTTTTGTAATTTTTTACAAATGAAAATTCAGTGTTTTGAAAAATTCACACAATTAAAAATTTGCAAAAATAAAAATTCGGACAAATTTAAAATCCAGTGAATTGGCATTTCTGTTATTTTAAAAAATTCGAATCACATAAAATTCGATTAAATGAGAATTCTGTTAAATTAAAATTCTTTTATATAAAAAACTATATAAGTTAGCCAAAGCTTTTATTAATTAACGAATAGGAACTGTTAAATTAGTAAAAAAAAATTTATACTAAGGAATTAATAGTATTCAAAAGCAAATAGTCAGCCTATGATTCAAAGTGGATCCGAGTGTTGTTTTTAATTTTTTTTTTTGTTATTCATCATTAATATAAAACAAACCTTGTTTTTATAAACCACTTCACTTTTTTCTTCAATTCTCATTCGTGTGTCCATAGTCATACCTGAAATTAATGATCTCCCTCTAAAACGATCATAACCTATAATTTCTTGCTTTTTAGGTTTTAATTCTTTTAGTTCTTTTTTTCAAAATTAGGTTACAAAAATTAAATAAATATGTGACTCACTCCAAGGGATGTGAACAAAGAAGCAAAGAATTATAGGTTATGTTTATGATTAACCTAAGAAGCAAAATATTATAGATTATGTTTATAATAGTTTTTTAGTTGTAAAAATACAAATATTTCTCTTTTATTGTACAAATAGAAAATAAAAATTAATTTTCATTTAGAATTAAAAGTCAAACTATTAAAACGATCATCAACATAACCTATAATTTTTTTTGGTCTCTTTTTTCAATCACATATCATGTAACCTAATTTTAACGAAAAGTTATAAAAATTAAATCCTTTTAATAAATTTTAGGTTATGTTTATGATAATAAAATCGAATCTAACCTTAAAAAAATAACAATTATATTTTTATATTAAAAAAGAAGGGAAAAAAAATTATCTTACATCGCTCACTCCTTCGGGACTTGCAATAGGTGCCGTCTTTCCAGGAATGGGAAGACTGGGAGTGGCACCGGAACTGCTGCCAATTGTGCCAATCATGTGCGGTGCTGGCAGTGAAAGTGGAGGGGTCCCCGTTCTTCCTGGACCCCATGATTCCATCATTGTCGGAGAACCACATGTTAAAGGGCTGCAAAAAAAAATTATTATTATTCCTACAGTTACAAAAAAAAATTTTATTATGATTATTATTGTTACTACTATTAATTATTAATATTATTATTATTATTTATTTACTAAATTTATTTATACTATAAAACAATCAAAAACATAATATAACCTAAGAGGCAGACTATGTTAGGTTATATGATCGTTTTACTTTGATTAAGAAATTTTTTAGGTTATGTTTCTGATAATTTTTCACGTCCACTATAAAAATTTATAGGTTAAATTTATGATAGATTTGTACCTTGATGAATAACTTATAGGTTATGTTAATGATAGTTTTAAATAAATTAGAAAAATTTCGTTATACGAACGTTTTAATTAATATACAAATTATTGTAGGTTATTCTTATGATCATTTTACATTGATTAAGAAATTGTAGGTTATGTTTATGATAGTTTAAAGAAAATAGAATCGAAAGAAAGTAAAAAATTTACAAAATTATGTTTATAATAATTTTACCTTAAGTATAAATGATTGTATAGGTTATGTTTATAACGGTTTTTGATCTTATTTAAAAAAAAATTCTAGATTATGTTACAAATTACATAATTACAATATTAAACAATAAATTAATTTTGTTTTTCGTCATTATTTGTTAAAGATACAAAACTTTAAATAACCTTATTAATGTCACCTTGCCCTAGCCAACACGGAGGTCACTCACACACACACATACATATTTACACACTATTTAATTGTAATTATCGCACAAGCTCTAATGGATTTTTAATGGTTGGTAAACGCTTTTCAATCCGTTATATAGTTTATATATACAATGCTTTTTACTGCATTTTGTTGGCGCCGGAAATCTACCGTAAAAACGCAAAATCATCAAGAATAATTTACGATGAGGGGCGAAGGTGGGGTAGGGGGAGGGGATGAGAAAGAAAAATTATGAAAGTAGTAAAAAAAAAAAATTTCTGATAAGGATTAAAATATGATGATAATTCCATTGCTATATATATATATATAGTGTTGAGAAAAATGATCAATACGCGTTGCACCTGAGGTCAGCCCTCACAAGTGGAGTGTGTCAGTGTTAGGTCAGACTTGGCCAATCGATACATAACCTCAACCCGCAACGCGATACATATACATATATATGGCTATGTACATACAAATATATATATACATATTTGTGTGTGTGTGTGTGTTTGTACGAAAGGTGTTCGTGCGTGTGTTTGTATGAGGCAATCGTGTAAACATTGTGTGACTTTGTTTTGTTAACCCCTACTACTAAAACAAAACCACATTACCACGTGTTATTGCTCTTCCCTCTGCACATTGACACCCACTCTATATATATATATATATATATATATATACACAACAAGGAGAGAAAATAAATTCTTTTATCGCAAAAACTTGTTCTGGGGCTTCCGATTTAGGTTCTTTTACATCGGATAAATGTTTTACATTGTTAACATTTATTTTTTGACCCTCCAAATATTAAAAAATTTATTTATTTTTAAATTATAAAGGGAAAAAGTATTTTTTCAAAAATTTAGTTTTTTTTAAATAAAGAATTTTATTCAATAGCCATGAAATGAAAAATTTATTTGTATTAAGTAAATATTTTTTTGAATCAAATAAATATTTATTTGTTACCATAAAATATTTATTTAGTACAAATAAATATATTTTCTTTTCATTCGCTTTATGTTTTTCTTTTTTTCACTTGGAATTATTTAATTAGGGTAAAGTAATTAAAAACATAACCTATAAATTTTTAATCTGTTAACTTAAAATTCTTTTATACAAAAAGTCATTAGTCAAAATTTTTATTAATTCATTTAGTAAACAAATAGGGACTGTAAAATTAGTTAAAAAAATTTATACTAAGCGAATTAATAGTATTCAAAAGCAAATAGTCAGCCTATAATTCAAAGTGGATCCGAGTGTTGTTTTTGAATTTTTTTTTTTTTTTTTTTTTGTTATTCATCATTAATATAAAACAAACCTTGTTTTTTATAAACCACTTCACTTTTTTCTTCAATTCTCTTTTGTGTGTCCATAATCATATCTGAAATACATGTGTCTTTTAAAACAATCATAAACATAACCTCTAATTTCTTGCATCTTAGGTTAAATCATTCACTATTCTAATAAAATCTTTTGCTGTTCTAGATAAATTTTTTTTCCGTATTTGATTGTATAAAAATATATATTAAAAAAGAATTTTATAGGTTATGTTTATAATTTTATAATTTCATTACAAAATGATAGATAATACCTACTATTTTTATAATTTATGATTATAATAAATTATAGGTTATGTTTATGATAGTGTATCTAAATATTATCTTTGCCTGCATAAAATTACGGTGACAAAAAAGTTCAAAAATCATCAAAAAGCAATTATAAACAACACAAAAAATAACATTTTTAGGTCATGAACAAAATTTCAAAACTTTTTTTTTTTTTTTTTTCTTATCAGATTTCGTGCCAAAGTTCAAGATGATAGACGATTAAAAAAAAGTTTTTCATTGGGAAAGAATTAAGAGGAACTTATAGAAGTAGATTATAATCTTTTTAAGGCTGAACAATTATTATGAGCCTCATGTTGCATTTTCGAACTATATTTAAATTAATTAATTTGTATGTATATATATATATATATATATATATATATATATATATATATATATATTGAGCTCTGAAGAAAGGAATCTAAGAAGGAAAAAAGTATAGGTTATGTTTATGATTCACGGGAGAAAAAAAAATATTTTTCACCTGGAACAGCGATAAGTTTCACTGGAACAGCGAAAGTTTACCTTCTTATCTCTTACCAAAGGTAAAACACTCATAAACATAACCTAAAATCTCTTACTTCAGGTAAAACGATCTTAAACATAACCTAAAATCTTTTAATTAAAGTAAAATAAATATAACCTATAATTTTTTTTCCAAACAAGGTAATACAATTTTAAACATAACCTTTAATTTTTATACTAAGCTATGGTAATCATAACCTAAAATTGTTTATTCAAGTTAAAACGATAATAAACATAACCTATAAATTTTTTTTATAATTAAGGTAAAAAAAATATTATAAACATAACCTAAAAATTTTTTTTCCTATTGTGTTTTATTTCTTAAATTTAGTTTAAAAATAGATTCGGATTATTTTTAACTATGTATTATATACATTAACACAGTTCTATAACTGAGAAATTTACATGTTTTTTTTTTTTTTGTTTGAAATTTAAGTTTAATAAGAAAAATTTTGTTTATCAGTTACTCAAAATTGAACAAACATGTTTTCCTCAATCCTCGCTACGATTTTTCGTCGACCATCTGCTACTATAACCAGATGTTAACTTATGAGTACAAACTTTGGAAAAGTGTCGATTATATAAAGTAAGCGATTTTTGAAATTCAATATTGCATATATACATACAAATTTATTTTTTTGTTTATAAAATAAGTTATATTTATTCTATTCGGATAGTTTTGGAAAATTTCAGATTTTTTTTTTCTAACGAGTAAATTTAAATTTTTTTTTTTTTTTTTTTCTGCGTGATAGTGCGTCACTTGACAGTTATACGGAATTGTCTATAGATTGGTACGGAATGGAACAAAATGTATATACATATTTTTAAAAAAAGGGGTCGTGACACGCAACAAAGGACACAAATAAACTAGTTTTAAAACTCTTAAACAGAAATCCATATAAACTCCCTCAAACAATCCTAACGCAGTAAACTACATTTATAAATGTAGACAAAAGTACCTTAACCTCATTATAAAACAGAATTTAACAAAAAAAAAAGAAAATTTTAATTTAATTCTACAAAAATTACCGACTTATTTTAATGAAATGCGACATTTTTTTTACATTTGAAAAAAAATGTAAATAAAATACATTTTTTTAGTTTAAATTGTAGATCTTCTTCAATTCAATTATTTAACAAATTTTGATCTAAAATGATCCTTCACGTTAAATTAATTATTTTTAATAATTTTAATGAAATACATAAAAAATTCAATTATATCAAAATTATTTTTTCAATTAAAATTTTTGTGAAATTTAACAATTACTTATAATTTAAAAAAAAAATATCACAATAAAATTAAATTATTTTTAAAAAATTTCAATTCAAAATAAACTAATATTGAATAATTACCTGAAATTTTAATTCGAAATCAATTAAAAAAACCAATAATTATCAAAAATTTTCAATTTAAAATTTAATTATTTACCAAGTTTCCAATTTAAAATGAATTAAAATTCAATTTTTTTCTAAAATTTCTATTCAAAATTAATTATTAAAATTTTCAATCAAAAATGAAATTAAATTAAATTATTATCGAAAATTTCAATTAAAATTCAATTATTTCCCAAAATTTTCAATTCAAAATCAATTAAAATTCAATTATTTTGAAAAATTTCAATTTAAAATCAAATAAAATGAAATTATTTTCAAAATTTTCGATTTAAAATCAATTATTTTCTAAAATTTCAATTGAAATTCAATTATTTTCAAAAATTGCAATTTAAAATAAACTAAAATTCAATTATTTTCAAAATTTTCAATCCAAAAACAAGTAAAATTCAATTAATTTCAAAAGTTTCAATTTAATATTAATTGAAATTCAATTATTTTCCAAAATTTCAATTCAAAATCAATAAAAATTCAATTATTTTGAAAAATTTTAATTGAAATTCAATCATTTTCTAAAATTTCTATTCAAAATTATTTATTAAAATTTTCAATCAAAAATGAAATTAAATTAAATTATTATCCTAAATTTCAATTAAAATTCAATTATTTCCAAAAATTTTCAATTTAAAATCAATTAAAATTCAACTATTTTGAAAAATTTCAATTGAAAATCAACTAAAATTCAATTAATTTCCAAATTTTCAATTCAAAATCAATTATTTTCCAAAATTTCAATTGAAAATTAACTAAAAATTCAATTATTTTCTAAAATTTCAATTGAAAATCAACTAAAAT